GTATTGTCAGAAATACATTTTTTATTGGCCACAGACCAGAGATTTACTGTCCTAGTCGACAATTACTCAGACATGCACACATCTGACTTTCAGTGGACATAAACAGCACCATGGTTTTCTGGCACTAAATGATCCCCATAATCATATTGTCACTGTACAAAATCAACTACATTTGTGACTCCGGACAGCCAAAAGGCCAAGAAAAAGCTGGTAATATGGCTGAACGCTGACAGGCCAATCAGTCACCACACAAGCAAGGTCTACGTTTCAAGTCACGCCTCATATGTCATGTACGAGAAGGTCACATTTTTAGTAAACAGAACCTGGAAATATGCTGCCTTTAAAGCACAGAGATGATGCAATGCAAGCTGAAGGTAAGGAGTTTCAGATTACCAACAGCCTCCTCAGGCGGAACCCTAAACCACTCTCGCCTAGTTTCAAAAAGTACAGTCTGCTTGCTAAAACACAGGGTTGCAATTCAGCAATACATCCCCCTCTGTAAGCCTTTTTTGCTGTGTTGCATTGCAAATACAAAGGGGGTTGTATTTCACTTAGAATTATTGTTACATGCAAGCTGAGCAGGGAAGGGCCTGGTGTTTTTTTTTTGGGCAAACAAGGGTCAGCGGAAAGAACCGTACTAATGCATTGTTCCCCATCACCCTGAATGACACGCCAAGAGATGCAGTTTCTTGCGATGTGTTTCTCGCTGCATACACGGAGCAGTGGCCTAGTTTGCAACAGGATCAGGGCATTACTCTTAATCCACCAGATACATGTCATGAGCATGCACGTGCAGAGGACCTCTCTGAGAAACAAATAAAGAAGGTGGGATGAGAGATGTGGAAAGCAACAGAAAAAAAGGAGAATTGGAAAAAAAATAAAGCTAAGCTGAGTGCATTGCTTGCATTGTTATGTTGCTGCTGCTTTTGTCAGAATGAACATATGGTGAAGTTATGCAGGATTTCCAGCTCTGCACACAGGAAGCTTCTTTATCTGATTGCACCTTCGTATCCTCAGTCCAGCAGTGTGTAATATGAGCAGATCAAGCGTGTGCATAAAAAAAAAAAAAAACTAAATTACAGCCTTTCTCCTTCCTTGTTTCGAATTCATTCAGAATTATAGTTTGAATGAAAATAAGGACAAGTGAAAGCAATTTTCTGAGTGCGCTCACTTTTTCAAAAACACACAGACGTGATGAGCAGCAAAGATGCAAGAGTCCTGACAGCCTCGGTTTCAGCTCTCAACATTCAAATCTCTGATTCCCCATTGTTGATATTAAAAGAGGCACTGAACGTTGTACACGCAGAGATAAAAGGAGCAAAGAACAGCCTGTGGAAGCCCCGTGTCCCTTCCATCTCTGCAGATTATATGGATATGCTGAGAAAAGGCAGGGAAAAGAGCAATGGAGAAAGTCACAACGAATGAGATGAGGGAGGGTGGGGGGGGGAGAGAGAAGAAAAATATAGACAGAGAAGACAGGCTGTGAATCCTTTGCTTGCTTTTCTCGCATCTGTGATGCTCTCCTAAATCTTAGTGAGGGAGCCTGGGAGCATCACGGTTTTGATGGATGACCGGGCTGTAAGTGGCTGACCCTGGAACTTATACATAGGACAAGAGGGCGGAGGGTTGAAAGCAAAACAAGATAGGTGTTTGTGTGTGTGTGTGTGTGTGTGTGTGTGTGTGTGTGTGTGTGTGTGTGTGNACTCCGTAGTTAGGTTTGTGCTGTGAAAAATGTACTTTGTATGCAAATTTCTCGGCTGTAATTTCTGCTGCGTAATCACAACATTTTCTTTGTAGAGATACCTACTGTTTAGACAGGGGACTGCAGCAAGAACTTGCTCAAACCAGTACTTTGATTTCTGAGGTTGATTAGCTGCTGTGGCCATACAACAATAAACAAACATAAAGTCACAGACATTTACAAGATCACTCACTAGCATTAAATACATTAGGTAACACTCTTTTATTAACCTTGACTGTAACACAGCATTTAAAAAAATTTCATCTCAATGATTCAACAGTTAGGGTTAAATATGTTTCTCTGTCATTTACAACAACTGTGGCAAAAAAACTAATAAATAAAAACTCCCAGAACCTTTTCTCTCATAGCAAAACAACAACTATAAACCTAACTGGAAATAGCAGGAAGGCAGAGTTGTTTGATGTGTCTGACTACTACTGTATATGTGTGTGTATGCGTGTGTGTGTGTGTGTGTGTGTGTGTGTGTGCTTTCGCTTGGCCCAGTGAAAGTGTGAGCTTTTAAAACATTCCAGCATGAAAATTGCTGCCTCAAGCCTACACTTGTGTGCCAGTTTGTGTGCTTTACAGGGTGGGGATGATATGTGATCAGCATCGCACAACTACAAACTGCGTCTTCCTTTGGGGTAAATGATCATCCTGTGTATGCTGCATCTTTATCAGCTTTATTCACAAGAGAAACTTTTGATCTAAATTCTTCAGGATACCACAGCATCATTACATATGTCAGAATCACTTCCGAGTGTTAAACAGCTCAGCAGGGCTCGACTGGCTGCATTCTTCTGGCTTTCACTAATCATTCATCAGCCCATCTTTTAATTTTCTTATACACTTTTTTCTTTATGTCACAACACAAAGAGATACTTTTGAACTGAAGATTAAAAAAAATCACAGCAGAAAACTAATAATGTATCAGCATTTCTTTCATGATTAGATGAATAACTTGAAAAGTTCTTTGAGTCTATGCTTCTTTCGGTGCACAGCAAGTCATCCCTCGTCATCTCTCCCTATTCCTGACATCATCCTCTGTGACATAATCTCTCAAGGCTCTCTTCCCCCTGCTTCCTCCTCTCGCTAAACATCATGATGCTATCTGCAAACATTTTAATCCATAGGAACCTTTGTCTGATCTCATCTGTTACCACTGCCTTTGAGAAGTCTGTCTAATTTGTGTCATGTGATAAATGAAGAAAAAACTCAAATTATTAACATGTTCATGTACTGCTTATTGCCAAACACAAAGAAGAGAGAGAGACCAAACTTGCAGTGATCGGAAAATAAGGGATTTTAACAGGATATTTGGCATCTTATGTGATTCTGTTATGATAAATTTTGAACCAAGGCAATTTTTAAACTCTCTTACCTCTAAAGTTATACAGGGTCTAAACGTTTATCTTTAGAATATACAATAGAATAGAACAACAGAATAAACTGTGACTGAGCACCAGATCCGATTGTGCTTTAATGACGGAGCAGTGATGCAAAAATCTTTAATTAATTTGAACTTTTACAAAGTCACCAATTTGTTTTCTTCCCTTCCTTTTGCAGAAACCTTCATGCCACTTTCAAGTATTGCGTTTTTCATTTTACTTACTTTTATTTAATTTTATAAATTGGTGACATTGCGTGACTTTGTAGGATCTTAGTTCAGTGTGTTGAGCATGTGTTGAACTACAGTGTTTCTAAACTCTGAATGCTGCCAGAATGAAGGCATCAATACTGAGAGTCTTAGTAATAACCAGGATAAGACTCTAAACTGACATGCTAATGTGCATGTGAACCTTCTTGAGAAAAGCTTTGGACGAGGACCGGTCCCTGGGATCAGAAACACATGGTATTAACAAAATCACACAAGCAGGAGGAAAATTATCTGATTTGCCATATGTGGCCCGTCTATCTGTGCCAAGTAATACTGCGATGGACAAAAACAGCTGGCCTCATATCAAAACTGCCAAACACACACTCTCACATATACAGAGAGAGCAGAGTGCTTTGTAAGACACAACCAGGCCATTTAAATCATGTATATGCACAGTCTGTGCATGTGTACTGTATGTGAATGTGTATGTGCATGTGTACTGTAAGTGTATATATTAGAGTGTGTGTGTATGTGTACATAATAGACAATAATTTTATTCCTGAGGCCTTAAATTTGTGCAAGAATGTTATAAAGATTAAAGCAATCATGTTTAATCATATGCAATGTCTTTTTTCAATAAATACAAGTAAAAAGAAATACATAAAATGAAACTATGAAAACAAAAAGTACAATTAAGTAAAATAAAGTACAGCAAACATTAAAACGTAATCAAGTGAATGTTTGATATGGTGATTCTTGTAGGTTTTAGAGGCTGACTGATTTGGGTTTTTCGGTGGCCAATTCTAATCCCGACTTTTAAAAGTCAGGGCAGCTGATGACCAAATTATGAAGCCAATCAGTTTGTTTGATTTTAGCTCATAATAATAGGTGTTGCATTCATTGACATTACAATCTACAAGGTTTCAGAAATGGAAAAACAAAAACAAACTTATGATTGCCAGTCAGTTTGCAATTTAGCCCTGAGGCCCACAGAATGTGCTCTTTACAGCTGATTAAAGACTCAATATGAATGTAGTTCCAAAAAGAGACTGTGCAATCCCTTTTGGAAAACAGAAACAAAACATTTGGTTAAATTACTTTTCATTCCAAGCATCACATCAGTGGAATTCTATATCTCAGTTTGTCAGGCAGTCCTCATCCAATCAGTCATTCAAATGCAGTGTGAGAAAAAAAAAAGGATTTCTGAGAACCAACACTGTCAGCATTAAGAAGACTTTTTCTGGTTTTGTCTTTTTGTTAGAAATGCTTATTGTATGTATTTGTTCATATTCCAGCTAGAGAAACAGAAGTACCCTTTAAATTGGTTGGTGACTTAATTTTTCTTCGAATATTTGCTCATCCCATCCCAGCAGCAGTTACAAGACTTTTTCCCTCTGTCCACCACTCATCCACTCTCCACTCTCCTTAAGCTTAAATAAATAAAAATAAAAATAATAATAGGCAGTTCATGACTTTTAGTTCTTATTTTTGCCTCAGGTTATAAAAGGTTTATGACTTGTGCATTTGGGCTCATTATGCCAGTCTAATTTAGAACTTATCAGGTGGATACATATTTGAACTTTGCACCACCTTTGCACGTTGTCGTGTTTGTGTGTTTCCGTGTGAAAGACACTAAGCAAGCAGGTACGTGAAAGCACTCACATTCAGCATCAGCGAGGAAGAGGAAGCTGAGTAGAAGCAGGCCTGGACTGGCAGGGAGCATCGTGGGATAAGTCGACACATGCATGCTGCATCCACCGTGAGCTCACTGCCTCACTGAACAACAGGATGATAGAAACAAGCCTTCACAACCTGAGGAGATAGGAGAAAAAAAAAAGAAAAACAATGATACAAAGTCCAAATTAAGACTTGCAGTTATTATATACTGTATGTGGTCCATCATCGCATACACCGCACAAACACACTGACAGATAAACACAGACTTAAAGTGTGTGAGTTCCCTTCAGGCCTCACACTCCACTTCTGCAGCTGCCTTTCCTCTCCTCGCTTCATTAGGACCATACCCTCTTTGCCGGAGGTGCGTTTGCGTGCGTGTTAGCGAGAGAGTTCACAAAGCAGCCGATGACTTTCAACTTACGGCAAACATTTAGCAGTAAAACATCAGTCTATTCTGAAGTTCACTTTTTAGCTCCCAAATGAGCAATGGCCTCAATTTTTTTTTCCTTTTCCTGCTTCCGTTTTTACTCGTTACACAATCTAGTAGTGGAGCAGGCTGTACTTCAGTATGGGATTTCTTCCAAATGTGCGTCAAAGCAGCATGATTTCAGATTGATGAAAAGAAGTGGGTGATGGCTTTAAGATGGAGGGGTGGAAGGACAGAGCAAGGGATTGATGGATGATGGGGGAGAGTAAAGAGGGAGGAGACTGACTGGTGTTATCTGCTGGCTTTGTTGGACAAAGTGTTGGATCAACATCCAGCTCAGTGTCTCTATCCTTTCATCCTTAGCTTGTTTCCTTCCTAGAACTGCACCTCTTCTTTTGGTACCACATTCCTTCTGCATTTACTCTCTCCTCAAATACATACGTTTATATTGTTTCTTAAACTCAACTTTGCTTTCATTTCAAACCACTTTAAAACACTTAAAGAAACATATTTTAATCTCATTTCCATTTTGAGACTCAGCCTTTTTTCCTCTCCCTTTGTTTGCCTATGCATCTCTCTGTCTTCAGATGAGCCTACAGTGCGAGTGTTTGGCCTTAAAAGAGACCGAATTCTATCAGAAATGTTGCAAAACAAACTAAAGAAAAATGTCAAATCCCGTAGCTGTCCAGAATCTGTTCATGTTGAATGAGAGACATAAAGTGAACAGAGTAGGAAGAGAAGGGACATGTTTGCTCCATGTAGATGAATGCAGGATAGCTTGTGCACAGCTTGATGCTTTGGCATGTGCATTCATGTGTTTGCATGTAAGTTAGAATCAATAGTCCAATATTAGTACTATAATTTAGTATAGATACTCATTTACATTAACACTGACACCAGCATTATCATATATCCTTCAACGTGCACTGGAAGAACTAATATATATA